AACAAGAATTTAATGCAACTAGAATTATTTCTGAATATAGTTTAAGATAGGGATCCATTTGTATTTTCTTCCAGATTGATAAATACTAAAATTCTATAGGTTTCACTGATTAAACAATTCATCCATTTCCTATGGAATTGAGCTACCATCTTTGTCATTTAAAAAATTCTCACAAATACTACAATCTATTTTTGGATCCCTAGTCTGTTCCATTAGTTTGTCATTTCTCACACCAATATCATAATTATATGGCTATAATTACTTTTCAGTATGTTGTTATATCTGGTAAGCCAAGCCTCCCATCGTTGTTCTTTTCCTTACTTTTCTTGTCTCTTCTTGAACCCTTATTCTTGAATATAAATTTTAAGATCTTTTTATCTAGTTCCAAAATCAAAATGAAACCCTATTGGAATTTTAATGGGGATTGCAATAAAGTTTTATATTATTTGATAGTTATGATATCAAATCTTCCTCAAATATAATATGCTTTTACATTTATTCAAATCTTCTTTTATAACAATAATTTTTATTGTCACTTTCTTCATCTACATTTTCTTATTATTAAATTTATTCTAAATATTTTAATTTCTCACTGCTATTAAGGATGGAATATTTCCCCCCATTCCATTCTAGGTGCTCATTTCTAGAGCAAGAAAGATATTTATTTTTTATGTATTTGTTATGAGGCAAGTCCCTCACATGAAAGTCTATTAATTCTAGTATTTTTTATTAGAGACTTGGGTTTTTCTAGATATTCCATCAGCAAAAAGATATAGCTCTATCTCTTCCAATATTTATGATAGCTTCCTTATATTACTGTATTTGATAAATCCTCCAAGACAATGTTAAAAATAATGTGCTAGCAAGTTTCTGATTTTAATTGAAATGGTTTTAGTGTTGTACCATTTAGGATACTATTTTCTATTGTCTTTTGTAAATAGTCTTTGCTATATTTAGCTAGTTTCCCTCTATTCCTATTTTACTTAGAGTTTTTAGTAGATTAACTAGAACAATGGTTGATAAACACTAAGTGCTCTACAACTACTTGTTAAACAAATAGAGATACATTAGTAATGACTGCTGAAGTTTATTAATGCCTTTTTCAATGACTACTGACATGCTCATATGGTTTTTCCTTCTGAATGTGATGTTATGGATTATGTTAATATATTTCCCCGTACTGAAACACCCTGGGAAAACCTTGCTTGGTCATATATGTTATTTCTTTAATGCACTGCTAGTTCTATTTGCTAATATTTTATTTAGAATATTTGAAATATAGTCATAAACTAAATTTATACTTTTCTTTTTCATACTTAAAAAATTAAGCTTTAGCATTAAAGTTCTATTTGTGTCATTAAGTGAATTAAGGAGCATTCACCTTTTTTCCTTAGTCTGGAACACTTCCCCTTTGTTGGGAACTGCCACCTACTCATGGAAGTGGGTGTCCAGAAAGCAGGTCCCTCTACTAGGACACTGCCTGCCCCCCGGTCACAGCCCACTGATCAAAAGATCTTGCCAAGATTTAGAATTCTGAATTGAGCAACACAGACTAGGAGTTGCTAAAACTGAAACATATTAAGGGTGGTAGTTTAGAGGGCATCCCCATGCACACCTTACTTTGCCATTCCCAGAGATAGACTAGTTCCTAACCTTCCACAGACCGTGCTAATGACTTCTTTGGATTCCCAAAGACATTCCAGATTTCTTCCAATAATCATCACCATCACCATCATCATCCTTTTAACTTCAAAAGAAATTCTGGTGAACTTGTTACTTGCAAATAAAAGAGCCTTAATCACAAAACTATGTATAAAATCACCTTTCTTTGAACATTTTAATAGTTTTGCTTTTACTTTAAAACAAACTTAACTTTCCTGAAATTATACAATGTGTAACATGTGCAGCAGAAACCCTACTAAATTTGTTCCTGCTATGGACTGAATGTTTATGTCTCCACCAAATTCAAACTCAGGTTGAAGCCCCAATGTGACTATGTTTGGAGATTGGGCCTTTACGGAAGTAATTAAAGTTAAACGAGGTCATAAGGATAGGATTAGTGCCTTTATAAGAAGAAACACCAAAGAGCTTGCTCTTTCATCCCATATGCACACAAGAAGAGGTCATGTGAGCACACAGTGAGATGGCAGCCACCTACGAACAAAGAGAAGAGGCCTCAGAATGCAACCTACCTTGCCAGCACCTTGAGCTTGGACTTCTCAGCCTCAGAACTGTAAGAAATAAATTTCTGCTGTTTAAGCCATCCAGTCTATGGCATTTTTTTGTAGCAGCCCAAACAGACTACAGACTAATACAGTTCCCTAAATGGCTAACTAGTTGTCCTAATGACACTTATCAACTAATCTGTCATTACTCCACTAATTTGAAATGCCACTTTTATAATATATTAAATTTAAATAAATTATCAAGTCTGTTTCTGGGCTTCCAATTCATTTCACTAATTTACGAGTATATTTTGGCATTAGTTATTTCTTATTTTGATTATTGTGCCTCTCTAAAACAAGATTATATCTTGTATTAAATTGGTAGGGCAATTTATACCAATTACATTGGTAGGGCAAGTCTGCCTTCATTATTGTTGGAAAATTTTATTTGCCATTCTGGAATACTCTTCATTCCAGGTAGATTTTAGAATCATTAAATTTAGTAAAAAGAAAAGTTGAGATTTTTATTGGGGAGCATTAAAGCAGAGGAAAAGTGACATATTTAGAATGTTCTATTCCAATCCACAAATATAGCATATGTCACTATTCTCCATTTATATTAGTAACCTTTGTAGTTTTATTTATAATGTCTCACATAATTCTTGTTTCTTCTTAGCTATATTCTTCCAATATTTTATTATGAAAATATTCAAACACACAGAAAAGTTGAAAGAATTTACAGTGAGCATCTATATACCGCTACCTAGACTCTACCATTAACATCTTACTATATTTTATGCTGTGTTTTTGTTGAGTAGCAGATAGGAGCATAGACTGCCTGGATTTACCACTTGCAAGCTGTATGATGCAGAGCAAGGTACTTAACTTTTCCAAACCTCAGTTTTCTTATCTGCAAAGTGGGAATAAATAATGGTACTTACCTCAATGGGTTGTTATGAGGACTAAATGAGTTAAAATATGTAATGCACTTAGAACAAAGCTTCATACTCTGTAAATACTATATGCTAATGTATTAGACTGCTGGGGCTGCTATAACAAAATATCACAGACTGGGTGGTTTAAACAACAAAAATTTATTTTCTTACAGTTCTCAAGGCTAGAAGTTCCAGCTCAAGGTCTGGCAGGGTCAGTTTCCAGTGAGGGCTCTCTTCCTGCTTGCAGATAGTGCCTTCTTGCTAAATCCTCACATGACCTTTCCTCAATGCCTGCACCTTCAGAGAGAGAGTGAGCCCTCTGGTGTCTCTTCTTTTAAGGACGCTAATTGTATGGGATCATGGCATCACCCTTATGACCTCATTTAATCTTAACTAGTTCCTTCCTTCAAAAACAGCTACACTGGGGGTTAGGGCTTCAACATATGAATTATTTTGGGGGGAGGGGGACACAAAACATTCAGTCCATAACAGCTAGCAACTATATACTTTTATTCTATTTTCTAAATTGTTACTTTGGTAAGCTATTGATGTAGAAGTATATTTGGAATGATGTACTCCTACTTTGTTGAGAAGACAAAACCCAGCAATTAAAACATTACAGTATAATCATTTCTGCAGAAAATACATAAAAATGCATGAAGAAACATAAACTGTGTGTGCATGTGTAGGTAGTGTGCACCAAACGTTAGCAACGGTTCCCCCTGCTTGGTGAGATTATATGTAATAATTATTTTGCTTTTGTATATCTTTTGGTATTTCAGTAATATAAGGAAAGCAATTAATGTAAGAACTTACTGAATACTAGAACAAAAAACTACCTGATTGTGGTATTCTTTTAATAAAACACTGGGTTACTTTCCACTTGCAGTCTTTTCCACGTACATATTATTAAGTGAAAGTGGTATAGATTCTTTTATACCAATGTTGTTTGACAAAAAAGTGATACAGACTTTTCCCTTTTGTCAAGGGTTTCACATCTCCCCACAGAAACACTCACATGCCTATTCTCGGCAGAGGAGGGCTGCTTCTATTCAGCAGTGTCGGCGTGGAAGGACAAGAACACAGGCTCCGTTTTCTTCTGCAGGAGCCGGGCAGCTTCACCCTGTGCTCGGGTCCAGGGAGGCCGGCGAGCCGAGAGCGACGGGACCGCCGGGCGAGCATCCCGGGATCCCTGCCAACGGGAATGCTGTCCCGGAGAACGCTGGGAACCACGCGCGGAGGTCGCTGCCGCGCAGGCGCACGGGCCTGCGCTGCGCTACGTGGGAGCATCTTGGTGGTGCTCGGATGACGGCCGGCCGCGGCGGGAGGGTGAGGGCGTGCGGGCCGAGTAGGTGAGAGCTGGGTGAGCGGGGCCTCTTCGGGGTCTGGGGAGGGGTGAGCAGGGAAGCGCCGGCTCTGCTCCGCCCCGCCCGCGGTCACCCGTGGCGCGGGGTGCGCCCGACGGCTCGGAGTCGGACAAAGGCTGCGAGGGCAGGGCCTGGCGGGTCCAGCCCTGGAGAAGCTGGCTTAGCCTCTCCGTTTAGGAAGGAGGAAACGGGATTAAAGGGGTTACGTGATTTGCCACAGCCGACAAGTGAAGGAGCTGGGATTCAAACCCAGATCCTTTTTGATTCTAAATCTCAGACTATTTTAAATATAGTACTACTGCCTAAAACAAAGAATTGGGTTTTATTCATCTCTCTGCTTCGTGACACCAGCACAGTGTTTGGACCACCGTGGCTCTGTATATCCACGGTCTCCGTGTATCTTTTGTAAAAATTTTCAGAGATTGGTGCAAGCTCTAGAATCCTGACTGTTTGACTAAGCCTTCTAGATGTTTTTGCTGACTCTAATGTTTTCTGCCCAGCATCGCCAGGGGACTGTAGAGGCGACTGCTTAGAATTAATACCTGGAGGCTTCAGCTGCCTGCTAAGGAGACAGATGGAGCTCAAGATGGGAGGTGTTCCTTGAGACCCTAGACGTTAAAAGATCCAGACTCCGGATTTTGGTACTGTATGTCCCCCGGGTTCCTGAGAGTGGAGGACACCTGTACAAGTGTGAAGCTTCCCGTCGGAGTTTCCTCGTCAAAAGTGGACAAGCCCAATCAGGACTCTCTGTCTTGTGGTCTGGGGCCAGAGGGTCCCCCAGAAAGGAGTGCTGAAGTCCTCATGCTGCAGCAGCTCCTGATCACCCTGCCCACGGAGGCCAGCACCTGGGTGAAGTTGCACCATCCAGAGAAGGCCAAGGAGGGCGTGCCCCTGTGGGAGAACGTGACTAAGATGTTGGGAGGAGAAGGTGAGACTAGACTGATGTGTGGGAGAGAGGAAAAGCAGCATCCTCTAGAATGAGAAGGAAGGTAGACACCTGAGCAGAAGCATCTCTTAGGGAGACAATTGAGTAAAAGGTCTCTGGAGTTCTTGATTATGGCTCCTGGCCTGGGGTTTTCCTGAGTAGTAGTGGCCAGTTGACCTAAAACCAGTATTTCAGTGTCATGGCTGTATATGTTATTTCTTTTCATCTTCCCCGTGGGCATGTGGGGCAGGGAGGACTTGCCTGATTTTCCTTGTTTTATGGTGAGGAAATGTGAATCAAATGAGAGACCTGTCCAGGTACTTGGTGGCTAGGTCAAGAGTAGAAAGCAGCAGGGAAAGTACCAGGTGAACCTGGAGTATCTTGTGTTAGAAAGCAAGAAAGAGCTCAGACTAATGGACTGTATGAGAAGGATGCAACAGCCAGGTTCAGGGGGCTTCCACTGGACAAATTTGAGACAGTTTAAGTGTCCACATTGATTGTAATACCTTGAATAAATAAAATTCCACAAGTTCCTGATGATACTTAAAATAGAGAAAGAAGAGGGGGGAAACTCATTTGCCTACATTGGAGGTAATTAATACACTGATTTCTTACTTTGAAAATAGATTATTATGGGAATGAAGGATGCATTTATCTTGCTTTTTAGATCATTTCCAGTTGTTGAGGGAAAGCTCTTGACAGAAAATACCTGCCAATAATAAATGTAGAAGGAATGATAGAACATTTTATTGTAAATGAAATAATTGAAAGGTTGATGGGGAACAGGATATTCACATGGTGTCAAAGTATCGCCCCGACAAGTTACTTGCTAAATGCCAACGCAAGAACATACTTTTACAATGGTGAGATCTGGTGGTCACTATCTTAACGAAGTGTCCCAGCCATGGCGTAACCTGACATTTTGTGCTTTGTGGCTAGTGTAATATAAAGCACATGGTATCACCCATGAAGTATTCCTGCCAAAAATGTTTAACCTGATCCTAAATTAAGCGTAAAGCCTGAACTTCTGGTTTAAAGAAAAGACAGGGGATGGAAAAATAAGGTAAACCCCACCCTGAGGATACAGTTAGATTGCTCTGATCTCTTAAAAAGCCAATGTCATGGGCCGGCCCGGTGGCTCAAGCAGTTAATTGCATGCGCTCCACTTCGGCGGTCTGGGATTCACAGGCCTGGATCCCAGGTGCGCACTGATGCACCTCTTGTCACCCCACACTGTGGCAGCGTCCCATATAAAGTAGAGGAAGATGGGCACAGATGTTAGCTCCGGGCCAGTCTTCCTCAGCAAAAAAAGAGGAGGATCAGCATCGGATGTTAGCTCAGGGCTGATCTTCCTCCCCCCGGGGGAAAAAAAAAAAAGCCAATGTCATGAGAAAAGGGGAAGTACTATTCTAGAGTAAGAGCCTGGAGGTAAGAACCGCTTTGAAAGTGTGAACCTTGATTGGCTCCTGATTTGGAAAAAATCCAGAATAAAAGACAGTTGGGGAACAGTAGGGAAACATGAATATGGACTGAATATTTAGATACTATAGAAATATTATTAACTTTCTTAGGAGTCATAAATGGTATTGTGGCTATGCAGGAGAAGATCCGTATTTGAAGTATTTAGGGATGAAGTATCATGATGTCTGCAACTTTGAAATGGTTCAGAAAAAAATATAGATAGAGGAAGCATATAGGGCAAATGCTAACTATTGTTGAATGTAGATGGTGGATATAAGGGTGTTCAATATTCATAATAAAAAGCTGGGAAAGAATACAAGGACAATAATTCATGTGCCTTAATTCCTGGTTCATATTCTTACTACCTCAAATTCAGCCAGTATTTCTTGAATTCCAGCAGCCTGACAGGGTGTTATGCTTAACACTTGAGCAGATGGAAGAAAAATGAATCAGATGCAGTTTCTACCTGTATACTCATACTAACATTCAATTGAGGGAGATAATTATACAAATAAATATAATAGGAGGTGGCCTGAGATAGAGACTAGAATCGAGATAAAAACCAAGCTTTTGGGGAGTACAGGGGAGAGGAAGCTTTCTTTTCATTAAGGGTGTCTGAGAAAACTTCACTTGAACTGGCCCAGAAGGATACGTCAGTTTTTCACTGAGTAGAACTTGTGGGAAAGGACTGACGTGGGTGCTATCCAGGTATGTTCAAAGAATGGTGAATAGGATTATGTGGGTGGGTGTGTCCAGTGGATGAAGGATGGTGTTTAGAGGGAGACGATGCTTGGAGAAGCAGCTTTGGACTGGTTGTGGAGGATCTTGAAGACCGTGATAAAGTGTTTGGATTTTTCTTTCTTGTCAGTGGGGAACCTTGGAGGATTTTTGAGCAGAGGAGATGCCTGGTAGATCTGTGCTTTTGGACTAGCATTGACTATTGGCAAATATTAATCTCCAAAACAACGCACCGCAGATGCTCCTCATTAAGGAGCCTTCAGGCTGTTCTTGAGTGGCTCCAAATGTCCCTGTTTGTGAATATATTGAGAGAGGAGCCACATTCAGCAGGTCTGTAGGCAGTTTTTCTATTTGGGGGATTTGGGGAGATGCAAACCTCATGGCTCTTTTCCTTCCTCAGCTCTGATGGCTCAGGGTGCTGATGAGACCCATGGAGAAAGTTTCGAGGGTGAAATGACCTCTGGGCCCCCAACAGCAGAATTCCAGGTGGGTTGGAGTTTCCTGTCGCTTTCTTGAAATTGTTTCTCAGATTTTAAGAGCCCTGGGCTTTGACTTTCTTTGACTCGACTTCCTGGATTGGATTTTTATAACCTGTTTGAAACCAGCCTGCATCGAATGATTTCACAGATAATTCCCCACTAGTAGTAACCTTCCTCAGGAAGCTTCTTGTTTCTAGCAAACCTCTAGCCCCTTATCCAACAAATTTAAAAATCGTGCTGGCATGTAATGTAGTTCTTTCCCTTAAACCTCACGGATGTCATCTGGGGGGAAGACGAACATTGTAAAACATTTTAAGCAACATTTTAAAATTAACAGGATAAGGTTCTGATATTCTTGGAGATGTATACATTTCATTAATGACCTTTAAGAGAGGATTTTTGGTCATGTCCTGGAGCAGAATGGTAGATGAAAAGAGAAATGAGTAGAGAAACTACTGGCAGATCACGAAAGGCACAAACTAGATAGACTGAGCAGAAAAGGAAGGAAAACTTCCAAGAGCAGTTCAGTAGTGTCTGTGTATCATAAATGAGCTGATCAGCAAACCAGTGGCACTTGCTACTGCCAAAGCTCTACGCTACCAAACTCCAGAAGCGTAGGGAAACTGAAAAAAATTGTAGAGTACTCAGAGAAAACCGGTACAGACGGAGATATTATTAGAGAACAGAAGAGTTTTAAAGTGGAGTGATCTTAGCTTCCAGAGTCACATGGTATAGAGTTTAATCCCATGTCTTTAACCTTCCTCGAGTTCAGTTTTCTCATCGGTTAAATGTGGATGCTAACATCAGCCTCATAGGCCTGAAATGCATTCCAGAATTATTTACAATACATAAAAAGCATTAAAATAATCTCCATACTTAGGGAATTTGTTATTATCTCAGCCTTCTGGCTTCTCTTTGCATTTGGTAATATTTAAAAAAAATAACTATCAAATGGTTATCTAATTTATGTAGATCATATATAACAGGCTCTAGTACTTCATAACACAGTGTCTGCTTTGGTCAAGGGCTCTTCCTTACTAGGCAGAATTCACATTCCCTCCAGAAACATGCTGTTCTGGCATACTTTCCTTACTAACAGAAATACCCAGCTAAGGGTATTTTACCCATGCTGAAATGTTCTCATTTTAACCAATTCTTTCAGCCCAGCAGAGGTCCTTGTCTTCTCTTGTGGCCTTAGCCCCTTTTAACTCTACCTTTTCTCAAATATTCCTGATCTTTATTGTCTTTAATCTAAATTACTATGTATTCTTCTGTAACCTTCTTTAATATTTCATAAGTATTTTGCCTTCAGTCAAATTGTAAATGGCCAAAGACAATTTACACACTCTCTCCATTGTTTTGTAACCTCCCTGCAGAAAATCAGCCAAACAATTTTCAAGAGGGTATCCAGGAAAACTTGTCTAGAATCTCTTAGCATCTAGACAAGGTCAGAACAGCTTTCCTGAACTCTGGCTGAAAAGGAACATATTTGATATTCTAGGAACTGTTGACCTTCAAGGACGTATCTGTGGACTTCACCCAGGACGAGTGGGGGCAACTGGCCCCTGCTCACCGGAGTCTGTACCGGGAGGTGATGCTGGAGAACTATGGGAACCTGGTCTCAGTGGGTAAGGATGGGTTCCCATTGTAACTAGAACCTGCCTATTGCAAGAAAATCTTATTTCTAAGTTAAGTGCTATGCTTGGGTTTTGAGTTCTGTGTTAGAGGTTTCTAGTTCATTCTGAACAGCAAGTCAGGATTGCTGTGGTCTTTTCTGCCCTCGTTTTTCCACTCTACCCTTCAGAAGGCCTGAATACCAAAGAACTGTCTTTAAATTCTTGGCATCGCTCTTTGACCTCAGCATATGCAGTTTTTTCTTCTTCATGAGCAGGATATCAGCTTTCCAAACCTGGTGTGATTTCCCAGTTGGAGAAAGGAGAAGAGCCATGGCTGATTGAGAGAGACATTTCAGGAGGTCCAACTTCAGGTAAGAGCAAGGCAGATGGGGCCTGTGTCATGTTTGCCAGAGAGTTTTGCTCAAAGCCTTCTCCAGACTGTGGGGAAGGCTGAAGCCTTCTGGATGGGACCCACAAGAAACCTGTTTGCCACTTTGTTACCGCTTTCCTGCGCTTGCCTTGTTATTAGTTTCTCTGGAGTCAGAGGAAAAGAGATGCTTTCTCATTAGGGTTAGCCTTCTTCATTTCTCCTGACCTGACTTTCATGATTTTCTTGCTTTTGCCAGTATTCCAAACCTTACCCTAATCATAGTTTCTTTCTCCTGTCCATTCAGATATTCATGGATCTCCCCTCATTAAATACAGCACCTTTCACCAGAATCTCGTGTCATTTCATCATGGATTTCACTTTCTCTCATGATTCCGTTTAAAATTTTTTCCTAAATTTTATTCCGTGATCATAGCTTCAATTCTGATTCCCTTTTTAACTTGTGTAATTTAACTTGTTATTTCACATAATTTATGACTCTTTGAGAAATCACCACACCATTCTTGCTTACCAAATCCAATGGCTTTTAACAGTGTTCTTCAGCTTTTAAGAACAGTAATAATGACAGATATTTACCCAGCTGGCCTCTGTGAGTCCTGTGCCTCGTTTAGCCCCGTCTCACAAATGAGGAAGAGAAGGCTCATAGGTTAAGAAATTTGTACAGGGTGACTTAGCTACTTGTTGGTGGATCAGTGCTTGAATTCTTTTTTTTTTTTTTTTTTTTAAAGATTTTATTTATTTATTTTTCCCCCAAAGCCCCAGTAGATAGTTGTCTGTCATAGCTGCACATCCTTCTAGTTGCTGTATGTGGGACGCGGCCTCAGCATGGCCAGAGGAGCGGTGCGTCGGTGCGCACCCGGGATCCGAACCCGGGCCGCCGGCAGCGGAGTGTGCACACTTAACCACTAAGCCACGGGACCGGCCCAGTGCTTGAATTCTTATCATTCTGACTCCATGGTTTGTATGCTTATGGCACTATTCTACATGAAGCTTTAGGTCATGTAGACCTCACTGCCTTCTTGGTATCCTTTCCTCCACCAGCTAGTTTAATAATTTTTGTCTCCTCTGTCTCTTCTTTCTATGATTGCTTTTTCAGTGCTTCTCATCAATATCCTGTTTCATGCAGACATATCATTTCTGCCTTCATTAGGATAGGTTAAACTACTATAGCAAATAGACTCAAGAATTTGGCTCAAACAGAAGAGGAATTTCTTGCTCATATACTGGTCTGGGGGAACTGTTTACTTCAATGGACAATTCTTTTCCATATGGCGAATCTGGGACCGAGATTCCTTCCACATGGTGGCTCCAGCATCCCCTAGGGCCTCCTCATCATCTAAATTTAACCAGCAGTAGAATAAGAGCACAGAGGAGCTCATATGGGAGGTCTTTATGGGCCAGCCTGAAGTGGTTCACATCACTTACACTCTCATTCATTAACAAGGGACTTTTGTCGCTTCACTCAATCAAATTCAAGGAAGATTGGGAAATACAGTATAGTTGTATGTCAACAAATGGGGAGAATGGATTTCAGTGAACAGGCAACAGTCTCTGCCACAATCCCCGAGGAGCCTTTTACTCTGCTATTCTATTTCTGTACAAACTCTCACAAATGCATTGTGAGGGTTTCAGCTAGCCCTTTGACACCCATATGCTCCATATTTCCACCTTTGTCTTACAGATCCATATGAACTCTATTCCCACATATCCCTGGTATTTAGGACATCTCTGTATAGATGTACTGTTGTCACTTCAACCCCACTATGTCCAAAAAGAGAAGCCATCTTCTCTCCCAAACAAACTTCTCATCCTGACTCCTCGTATTCTTTCAGTCTCTAAGGCTGGAAATCATGGTATCAGCAAGACTGTATCATATTTTGTACTCTCAGTTTTCCCTCATTCCCCAAGTTTTGTTCTTTGATATTACCTTCTAGATTCACTTCTACTCTTCATCTCTGTTGATGCAATGCAGAGCCAAGTTCCCATCATCTCATGTCTGTTATTATAATTTCTAGTTGCATTTGTTGATGTCTTGTTTTCTTTTTCTGAACCATTTTGAATGTTCCTACTAGATTTGACCACTTGAAATATAACATTTATCTTGTTCTTACTTTAAAAAAAAGTGACTCCCTATTCCCTGTAGTCAGTAATATATTTATTTATTTATTTATTTATTTTGAGGAAGATCAGCCCTGAGCTAACATCCATGCCAATCCTCCTCTTTCTGCTGAGGAAGACCGGCTCTGAGCTAACATCTATTGCCAATCCTCCTCCTTTTTTTTTCCCCCAAAGCCCCAGTAGATAGTTGTATGTCATAGTTGCACATCCTTCTAGTTGCTGTATGTGGGATGCGGCCTCAGCATGGCTGGAGATGGCCGGAGAAGCGGTGCGTCGGTGCGCGCCTGGGATCCGAACCCAGGCCACCAGTAGTGTAACGCGTGCACTTAACCGCTAAGCCACGGGGCCGGCCCCCTGTAGTAAGTAATATAAACATCTCTATTTGCTTTTTAAGTTCGCTCCAAAGTTTATCCAGCTATTACCAAGCACTTTGTATGTGCTATTACTAACGTGAGGTTAGGAATCCTGGGCAATAAGATTTTGCTGTGAATAGGAAATATTGGTGCTTTAGGATGGCAGGGTCTGGAATGGATGGATAGGAATAGAAAGAGTAAAAATAGGGAAATGCCTTCATCCAAAAATATTGCCCCATGTATACTATGGATAGAATATATATTCTCTATCATTTAAGATTTTACAGAGTAGTTAATATTTTGTCACAAATTAAGAAACCATTGATTAATATATAGGCAGAAATTGTGAAGATTGATAAAAATCCAGTGAGTTTGCAGGAAAAGGTACCCACATTCACTGAGAGCACACATACTCACAATCCAATAATTCTTCTTTAGTAGATCTTATGAAATACTGACAGGAGTGTACAGAAATGTATGTATAATGACAAAGTGAAAATTTGGAGACAACCTAAATATTTTTCAGTAGGGGAAAGTCAAATTATGATATGTCCATAAAGTGGAATGCAATGCAGTTGTTAAAAAGAATGAGGTAAATCTGAATGTACAGACATGGAAGGGGGCCCATAAGATATAGTTGAGTTAAAAAACCAAACAAAACAGATACAGAACTGTATGTATATTGTGATCCCTTTTTTACTGCATATGAGTATTTGTGACCATATATACATAAATGCACACATTCACATATACATATTGTTGGGTAATGTCTGAACGGAGGTATTGCAAAATCCTAAGAGACTGGAGGAAATGAGGAGGAGATTGAGAGAGGCTATCCCTTTTTAGTGAATGCATCCCTATTATTATTTAATGTTTTGTTTTGTTTTGTTTTTCTGCTAAGGAAGATTTGCCCTGAGCTAGCATCTGTGCCAGTCTTCCTCTACTTTGTATATGGGTTGCTGCCACAGCATGGCTGGATGAGTGGTGTAGGTCCGTGCCTTGGGATCCAAATCCTCAAGCCTGGGCTGCTGAAGCAGAATGCACCGAACTTAACCACTATACCACAGGGCTTGGCCCCTAATGTTTTATTTAATGTTTAAAACATATGAGATAAATACTTAAAAACTTTTTTTAATAAAGAAAATTTTGTCATAGAAATACAGACTTGAGATGATATGGTGTTAGAATCCTGTCTTCTTTAATCTTGACTCTTGATATTTGCCCTTACAATGATGCTCTCTTCTTAGTCCATTTCCTCTTGCGATTCACATAAATGAATTCCTCCCAATTGCTTAACGTCACCTCCCATACTTCTGACAGCTTCTTTCCTTTGACCACTTCTCCACTTCCTTTCATATTAGCTGTCTAGGTGGCAGGATCACATTTGAAGACAGTCCAAGCTTCCTGTACCAGTATGTGTTATTTTATTTCCTTCCTGTTCTCACTATGGCCATTTATTTTTTAAAGTGCAGTGGATATGGTCATTTGTATTTTTGGATTTCTTTCAGACTTGGGGAGTAAAACAGAGACCAAAGAGTCAGCCTTAAAGAATGACATTTCATGGGAAGAATTACACTATGGCCTGGTGATGGAAAGGTCCACAAGAGGAAGCATGTTGTATTCTGCATTGGGAAGAGTCTCCAAATGTGATAAGTTAGAAAGTCACCAGGAAAATGAAGGAATGGGTGAGGGGCAAATCTCCTTGATCCACAAGAAAACACTCACTCAGGAGAGAGACCAAGAATCTAACAGATTTGAGAAAAGTATTAATGTGAGCTCAAAAGTTATTCCAGGACCAGTAGGTCCTCCAAGAAAAAGAGACCATGAATATGACATATCTGGAAAGAGAAGTAGATACAATTTAGATTTGATTAATCATTCAAGGAGTTGTGCAAGAAGGAAAACCTTTGAATGTAATATTTGTGAAAAAATCTTCAAACAGCTCATTCACCTTACAGAACACATGAGAATTCATACTGGAGAGAAACCTTTCAGATGTAAAGAATGTGGAAAAGCCTTTAGCCAAAGTTCATCCCTTATTCCACATCAGAGAATCCATACTGGTGAGAAACCCTATGAATGTAAGGAATGTGGGAAAACCTTCAGACATCCATCATCTCTTACTCAACATGTTAGAATTCATACTGGGGAGAAGCCCTATGAATGTGGTGTATGCGAGAAAGCATTCAGCCAGAGCATTGGGCTGATCCAGCATTTGAGAACTCATGTTAGAGAGAAACCTTTCACATGCAAAGACTGTGGAAAAGCATTTTTCCAGATTAGACACCTTAGGCAGCATGAGATTATTCATACTGGTGTGAAACCCTATATTTGTAATGTATGCAGTAAAACCTTCAGCCATAGCACATACCTAACTCAACACCAGAGAACTCATACTGGGGAAAGACCATATAAATGTAAGGAATGTGGGAAAGCCTTTAGCCAGAGAATACACCTTTCTATCCATCAGAGAGTCCACACTGGAGTGAAACCTTATGAATGCAATCACTGTGGGAAAGCCTTTAGGCATGATTCATCCTTTGCTAAACATCAGAGAATTCATACTGGAGAAAAACCTTATGACTGTAATGAATGTGGAAAAGCCTTCAGCTGCAGTTCATCACTTATTAGACATTGCAAAACACATTTAAGAAATACTTTCAGCAATGATATGTGAAATATGTTTAACATCAAAGAATCCTCATATTGGAGCAACAGCCTCTAAATTAGTGGTTTTCTGACTTTTGGATTTCAAGAACCAATAACTTTTGTTTAATGGTTTGACCCAATGTTATGACTATTAGTTTTCTCATATTAAAAAAACCCACCTATTGTCAGTATTGTTTAAGAAAAGAAAGAGCATTTTAATATTTAAAAATGTAGGAAGGATATAGTCATAAAGAACAGCCTTTTACATTGAATTAAATCAGCTTTATAAAAATTTCTCAAATTTTTCTTTGTTTTTCTCATTTCACTATGGGCCAGTGAAAATTTCATCAAGGCAGGTCAGTGATCTGTGGATTGGCTTTTGAGAATCACTGTGTTAAATATTTCTTTAATGAATCAGAATAAAATATAGTATAACATTTTACTATAGCCCTTTATATGGTCAGAAGAGATATAAATAAAAATGTTGGTTGGCTCATTTCTAGAAGAAATAATGTTGAAGGAAGCTTTCTAGAATTGATAGATAACCTACTATACATGAGATACTTATGTATATTTTATGGTTTTGTATAGAGAAGAATTAGCAAACTTTTTCTGTAAAGGGCCAGATAGTAAATATGTTAGGTGTTGTGGGCATATGGTCTCTGTCAGAACTACTTAACTCAACCACTTTAGTGCAAAAGCATCCAGAGACAATATATAAACCGGGGTATGTGGACCTCGGCACTGCTGATATTTTGGGTTGGATTCTTTGTTCTGGGTAGCTGTGGTATGTTCAGCAGTATCTCTGGCCACAAGATGCCAGTACTAGATGCTGGTAGTCCCCCCATCCATTGTGACAACCAAAAATGTCTCCAGACATTGCTAGGTGTCCCTTGGGGTTCAAGATTGTCCCTCCTTGAGAACCACTGACATAAATGAATGAGTGTAGCTGTGTTCCAATAAATTTTATTTAAAAAACAAGTGTCGGGTTGCACTTAGCCCAAGGGCTATAGTTTGCCACTCCTGCTATAGAGAATGTAAATGATTAATAATGGCAAGAGACTCTTATTTAATGTCAAATTAGTATGTTTGTGTATATCTATGCCATAAGTCTTATCTCCTTATCAATTCCTTTGGTATTTTGTTGCAAGAATTTTTTAAAAATCACGTGTAATACTATTGTAGAAGACTAGGAATTGTTTACGGAGATACTTATGCATAATTCAGTCCACAATGATGCTTTTTTTGTTCATCCATAAGTACTTCAAGTTGTGTCTCTAAAAGATAACCACTCTTGAAACATAACCACAATGCCATTATTACACCTAAAAATAATAGGCCATAATTCCTTAATATATAGTGATGCCTTTTTGAAGATAGATATATTGAGATTGGTGGCTGGCATTTTATTTTAGTTTATTTATTTTTATTTTTTTTTGTGAGGAAGATCAGCTCTGCGCTAACATCTGCCAATCCTCCTGTTTTTTTTGCTGAGGAAGACTGGCCCTGGGCTAACATCCATGCCCATCTTCCTCCACTTTATATGGGACGTTGCCACAGCATGGCTTGGCAAGCGGTGTGACGGTGTGCACCCGGGATCCTAACCAGTGAACCCTGGGCCACTGCAGCAGAGCGTGCACACTTAACCGCTTGCACCACCGGGCCGGCCCCCTGGCTGGCATTTTAATTGTTTTTAACTTTCCCTTTGACAAGCATACAGCATTATATTCGAAAATGTGCTTTCTGTTAATTGGGAGGGTCTTTGGGATAGTTCCCAGAGCAATACATCTAGGGGCCCACCAAAGCGGACCAGAGAGAAAGTGACTACAGGGGCCATATTGAGGCACGGAAGTGTGAGAGAGGAGGTGGAGGAATTGACTCATAGTACTTCACTACACTTAATAGATACTGCATCCTTCCAAACATAATTGGAGGTAGGTCAGGTTCAACTTCTTACTCTTATGTGGCAGAATAATTGAATTGACTGAGCATTTTAAGTGTGAACTATCAAAAGTAAAGCTGTAAATCCGGAATTTGTAATATATACCATTATCCCTAGATTTTTTCCTGTTACTACATTTACTTTTTTTTTTTTTTTTTTTTCCTACTGGCCTCTAACTCTTTCGTCCTTGTATGACTTTGATGGGTCAAAGGACAGAGGGGATACACTGTTCCTTCTATATATTCTACCGTGTTTCTGTGGTCTTAGATTTCCCAAGAATTTGGGTTTCTCTGATTGCTTCTTTCAGTGAAAGGCATGACTCTCACTTTTCTCCGTCTACACTCCCTGCCTCAGTGACCTCATTTAGTCTTATGGCCTAAAATACCATCTCTATTTAACTGCCAAATTCATGTCTCCAGGCCAGACCTCCCTCCTGAACTCCAGCTTTGTTCCTGCCATTGGCCTTTGCACTGGCTGTTCCTTCAGATATCCTAAACCCTTACCTTCTAATCTTTGCTCAGACGTTGCCTTTTCACAGAAGCCTGTCCTGACCATCCTACTTAATACTGCATCCTGTCCCTTACCCCTCCCCCCCAGCATTCCCAAACCCCCTTAACTTGATCTACTGTTTCTTTTTCCATCACATATCACCTAACGTACTAGATACTTAATATGTATTTCGCTTATTGTTTACTGTTGTTTCCCCCTGCTAGTATGTAAGCTCCGTGAGGGCAGGGCTCTACTCCGTTCACTGATGTATCACAAGTGCCTAGAAAAGTGCCTGGCACACAGTAGAGACTCAATAAATATTGAATTGTTTTGATTTGAACTGAATTGAAATATGTACCCATGATGACAATAGAGAAAGGTGATCCCTATACTTTCCTACCTAGATTTTATAGGTGAGGAAATCGGTTTGTTTCCTTTTTTATTTTTGTCTTTGCAAATGGATCAGAATTTCTGATCTGAGTCCTCTAAGAACTGTGAGTCGTAAATGACATACTTTTAAGATAGAAGAGTACTTTTAAATTAATTTGCTAAAAATGCAGTTAAATATGGCTGATTAACCACATGAATTTATCTTTGTTTTGTAAATGTGAGTTTATAAAAAACTAGGGGAGGATAAAAGACAATACAGCAGCTGGGAGAGAATGCAGCAGCAGACAGATGTCAACACCTTTTTGGTAGTGAGAAAACAGAAGAAATGTTACTGATTCAACAGAGCCTACTGAAAAGTATACAGGCCAGAGGAGGTCCCCGGGAAGACTGAGGCCTTGGAGACATTGGGCATCATGGAAGACAAGGGGCTGGAAATGGGGATTGGTTGAAATTCTGTGGTTAGATCCTGAGGTCCCCTCATCTGCCTCATACAGTGGGCTGCTACACATACATTCCCCCCCTCATACATTTCTCCATTCCGTTACCACCTTCCCTCATCCCAAAGAAGACTAGAAGTTTGTTCTCTGGAGAAGGAGTGGAGTTGATCTGGAATTGGGGACACCAGACACAGTAGAGACAGGGGGTGAGAAGCAGGGCTAAAATGGAGACTAATGTAAGGCTGCATACTGAACTGTGGGACCCCCAGCCCCTTTTGCCACGGAAAGCCAGGCTCCCCTCATTCAACAGTCCCCACTTTCACCCCAGCAGGAGGTTGGAGGAGTCTTCTCTGGAGGCACTGGATGCCCCTCCCGCCAAAAAAGCACTGCCATTTGTGGATACCTCAGTGGAAAATCAAGGTCAATGATCCAAATGCCCTGCACATGCAGGCCGAGCTCCCATCTCCAGAAAGAGAAGGGAAACTGAAGAGTAGGAAATACATAGACACACATGACAATTTTTCAGAATTGAAGGACATGAATCTTCAGATTAAAAGAATCCATGAGTTCAGCACAGTAAATACCAATAGCTACCATTCATCACATACTTGCAATGTATGAGGTACTGTTCTAAGTACTTTATACATATTAACTCATTTAATTCTCAGAAAAATCATCTGAAGTGGGTAATACTATTATTCCCATTTTACAGATGAGGAAATAGAGACACAGAGAGGCTAAGTAAGTAAGGGCACCCAGATAGTAAATGGCAGAGCTGGGATTTGAACCCAGGCAATCTGCTTCCAGAAAGAACACATACCAAGGAACATCATTATGAAATATCACAACCCCAGAGGAAAGGAGAATGTCCTAAAGGATTCTGGGGCAAGATAATAGGTCATTCACCTATATGGGAATCAGAAAAGCTTTAGACTTCTCACAGCAATAATCAAGCAGTGTCTTCTAATATTTTAGAAAAATGACCTTCAGCCTAGAGTTCTTTGCCCAGCCAACTACCAAACGTGAGGTAGATGGTAGTTGCCCACTCAACTACCAAGAGTGAGGGCAAAATAAAGACATTTTCAGATATGCCAAGTGTCAAAATTTACCCCCATATACCCTTTCTTAGAAAGCTACAGGAGGAATGTGATTCACCAGAAGAAGGAAGTAAACCAAAAAGAGGCAAAGGATCCAGGGAACGGTGGTCTCCAAACACAGGAGGACAGAAGAGAAACTCACTTTTTACATTTGTAAAGTGGGATAATTAATATGGAGTGTCTGGGATCCATATAGAAAAATTTCCCTCAGATACACAATCATCCAAATTTTCTTCCATCCAAATTTTCTTCCAGTTTTGTTTGTATATGTATTACATTTTTACATTTTTTATATTTAGCTCATCACTCCACATAGAATTTATTTTTGTAACTTTTGTGAATCTTACCATCACTGACAAGGTTATTTCCTATATTTCGAGTTTGTTGTTTTTACATCTGATGCAATTGAGGATCTAAACATTTCTGCTTTCCAAATTTCTAGTCAGTTATCCAAATGCCCCTCATAATATGTTATCCTTTCTCAACTGATTGTATGTTTCAGACACACTGTGTACATTTACATAGATAACCTTATTTGGAACTACATCATCCCTGTGAAGTGGTACTATTATTTACCCCCATTTTATAAATGAAGACACTGAGGATCTGAGAAGATAAATGATATGCCAAAGGTTGCATAGCTAAGCTGGATAGGAACTGTGTCTCAGCTACTGGGTTAAACTGCTGAGATGGGAGGCTGGGCCATGCGTGACAGTCATGTGTCTTTATATTTGCCAGTGAGACATGGTTTTTATGACAGAAATATATGTAGTAGATTTCAAAACACAGGTAAATTTCCTCTATTTACCTCTATTTTTCTAAAAATTTCTTCCCCAAATTTGTATGTTGAAGCCTTA